GCAGTAGTCAGAAATGAATATTTTGTCTCGACAAAAGTCTACAGAAATACTAACACGGTAGTCTGAAACTACCACGACTGCAGTGTCTTGATACTGTTAACACACCCGGTATTCAACAGCAACATCACGTTACAAACAGGTGCACTCACTGCTGTATTTAATAAGTTCAAGTTTCATGTATTAGGTATAGCCCGGTGAGCCATTCGGCTCTTGAATCGGGTGCAACCGCAACAAGCAAAAAACATGAACAAGAAAACATCTTCAAGTGACTATGTGACTAAGTGCAAACAGAAAATCCAAGAAAAGCAAAATATTGCAGAAAAAACACCGCACACCAACGTAGAGACGTACTGTCTTGTTAAGGTTCTTTCAAGACGCCTTGCCGGCGTGGAAGAGTAGGCCAAAATTACAAACACGGTCCTTAAGCTCCGTGTGGTACCACGAGGCCCCTTCGGGAGGCAGTGGCACGAGCCAGGCTATTGCAGTGCTGCACCTTGACCCAAAACCACCCCTCAACAACCACCGAATATGATTATTGTTTTTTTTTTACCCTTTTATCTGCCAACAAAACTGACACTTGTTTTTTACAAGTAGTCATGTTTGCATAAACACAATTATCATATTTTTTCGATTTAAAGCTTTCGTGACTGCAGGGATTCATCTTTTTGTTTTTTCGGTAAAGTCACGTAGAAGGGAAGTAATAAAATAATTAAAAGAAAACATAATAAAATAATTTTCACGACGTTTCGGCTACAACGCAAGCAGCCGTCCTCAGGTGAAGACGTCTTCAGGTGAGGACGGCTGCTTGCGTTGTAGCCGAAACGTCGTGAGAATTATTTATTATGTTTTATTTTTATTATTTTATTACTTCCCTTCTACGTGACTTTACCGAAAAAACCAAGAAGATATCATATTTTTCTACTGGCAAATGCGCTCCCAATGGTGTAAACCCACCGAAAATAACGCACTGTACGCAGAATTTCCCTCTCAAAAATTTTCCAGTTCTCATTTAAACTCAACGCGGCCGTTTCGTCATCAACCCTCTCCGGCGAATAACAACGAAGAAACTCCAACGCATTTATTGTTCCTCGATACGATATTAATAATAACAATAACCCTCGCAATAGTTCGATTTTGCCGACCTTTTGCGAGCAACGGCCCTGCTGCTGCAATGGCAGATCGATGCGTCTGTCGGGTCGGATCTGTCGGTGGTGGCCCTCGTGCACCACGGCCAATGCATCTCCGCGAACGAATGCACAGTCGTACAAAGCTCATCTCCGTCAAGTAATTGTGTACATTTCGTCGCGAAAATATAAGGCGCCAGGAACATAATAATAATAATCTTTAAAAAAAAACACGCGCGGCGAGATTCTTAGGTTTCGCGGCAGTTGCCAGCGCGTTGATATTGTCCAAACTTGTTAATTTTCTATTCCCGCTTCAAACATTTGCGAATCGTATCCTGACAATACTTTAGTCTTTGTGGCTCACGGCTTGCCGGGTTACGATGTGTAGTTTAGATATATATAGTTTTGTTGCTACATATAATCTAAAAACAAATGCGTTTAAATGTTATTCCGCGCGCCACGTACCTCGTTGCGTGTGAATTTAGATGCAGAGCGTGCGCAATGACGTCATTACGCACGGCGTAACACGTCTGACAATGCGTGCGTAATGACGTCAATACGCACGGCGGCTGACAATGCGTGCGCAATGACGTCATTACGCACGGCGTAACCCGTCTGACAATGCGTGCGTGATAACGTCATTACGCACGGCGGCTTACAATGCGTGCGCAATGACGTCATTACGCACAGGCGTAACCCGTCTGACAATGCGTGCGTGATGACGTCGCTACGAACGGCGCAGCGTCGTGCTTACATTTTTACGCACGGTGCAATGACGTCATTACGCACGACGTAACATCTGACAATGCGTGACGATGACGTCATTACGCACGGCGTAACCCGTCTGACAATGCGTGCGTGATGACGTCGCTACGAGCGGCGCAGCGCCGTGCTTAGATTTTTACGCACGGCGCGATGACGTCATTACGCACGACGTAACCCGTCTGACAATACGTGCGTAATGACGTCATTACGCACGGCGTAAACAACGATGACGTACTACGCACGGCGTACCCCATCGTCATCAGGCGTACGGCACCGTGCTCGTCTGCAGTGATGTCGCTAGAGGGCGCTAAAGCAACGGGACGAAAATAAAGCAACGCGAGTCTCGTTCATTTACAATTTATTGTTCAACTCTGGGAAAGCCTAAATCTTCCTCTCTCACCGCGACTCGCGAAACCGTTTCAAGTTTATTTTGCGAACATCAGGCGAAGGTACCCAGGAGACTAGGAACACAGTCACACAGAAGTCTCACCGTGCAAGAGTCGCCTGGGTCAACCAAGATGCTGTTGTGTTGTTTCCCAATGAAGTACAATTTTTTTTAATGTTTGCTAGCTCGTACACGACAGCCCATTGCACACAACATGGGGTTGCACGCCTAGAAAACTTCAGCAAGTTGTTTATTTCGGATTGTGTCTTGCGTTTGTTGTTTTATTTTTGGTGGCGGCGAAATGAACGAGTGTTTTTTTTTTTAATTGCCCATCGGCCACCCTGGTTAATACTGCGGTATGCGTATTAGCCTGTAAATATGCGCTTGCCTGTCTCACCCACAGTGATGTTATTCGAAGAGTCGGACATGTGTGCCTACATCAAGATGCACATTTGAAAAACGAGCCACAGAATCCATCAACTGGGAAGACACAAAGCAACACCACCCCTGACTGCGAAACTGAGCTGGACCCTCTCCTGAAAAGCTCAAAACATCAATAACACGGTGGCCTTGAAAGGGAAAATATTGAACAGGCGACGTTTCGGGCAATGTGGCTTCTTCATAGCACATTGAAACAGATGTAATCATAACAATAAAAAAGAGAGAAATACAGCAAGACAAGGAGTTTAATTGTGTTGACGTCAGTTCGTCTGTCCAAAAGTTTGCAATAACACATTCCTGCTGCGGAGGGAGCTGGTAGGAACGCCGGGTTGCTCGGTCAATGGCCAGGGTCAACGGCCGCGTGGTGTATTCCGCAAATATTCCCGACTGTGGCGTGAGTAGGTTAAACGTTGAGTTTTATAAGGGCACCACGGGGTGACCAGCCCCTCCCCACCCAGCCCCACCCCTCCCACCCCCCACCTAGCCCCACCCTCCCCACCCAGCCCTCCCCACCCTGCCCCACCCTCCCCACCCAGCCCCTCCCCACCCCACCCAGCCCCTCCCTGCACGACGGACACAATAATCCTGTGGGCTGGTGTAACCAGGATGTTCCTACCAGTATCATGCAAGTACAATGCAAGACATGTTCCTGTGTGTTACAGCACACACGTTACACGTGGTGCTACCCCCGCCTGAGATGTGCATGCAGCAGGGCATGATGACATCTAACTGTTGAAAGCAATATCTAAACTAACACGACCACCGGTCATGATCAATCCACTGCTGGTGGAAGAATGTCTCCCCAAGATGCTCTCACCTGGCAATGGGGAATGCACGACTCACATTCAGGTGACCCAGAGCCGGCCCAGCCACTAAGCGACCCTTGCAATTGCAAAGGGCCCCGTGGCCAGCAGAGGGCCCCCTAGAGTCACTGCTAGCGAGTGGTTGAAAAAAATCATACATCAAAGGGGCCTCCAACCAAATTTTGCTTAGGGCCCCCAAAGGTCTAGGGCCGGCTCTGAGGTGACCCCAACCACTTCAGATTTAGTCAGGCATACCGTGAACACTACAAACGGAGTTTGCTTATATGTACTGTTGTAATATGTCTATATAAGTAAATGTAAGGACATTAACTAAATATATACTGTTAATGTTTTTTTCTTGCTCACGCCACTGATAGCGCAAGAGCCGTCCACTAGAGAGCTCTAGAGGGGCCTCTGGAGGCTATTTCAAGTTCTGATACACACGTAGACAACTGCGTGGAACCACACGTCTCTGCCAGCTTCATATTTAAAAATACACGCAAGTCACTCGAGACACGCATTGATCGATGGGTAATTTATTTAACCAGTTTACCAATTAGTAACCCAATAACTTGAAAAACACCGATAACCATTAAGTTGGTGTCTTTTAAAATGTAGATTGAAAACGTCCCATGTAATAAATGTCAGACAAACATTTAGATTCACTGCATGCGTTTGAAATTTCACGTTTTACATGTCACCCTTTCGCACCTAAAGATAAGCGAAAACAGCACATTGTTGTATATCCATAGTGCCGCAAATGACATTGTGGTGCTTTCATGCATAACGGTAATAGTTTTTTTCATGAACTCAATGCTAAAACTTTGGCACAGAGGTCAGGGAGGTCATGGAAACCACGAGTAAAGTCTGAACTAAAATAATTTCGATTTAAAGCTTTCGTGACTGCAATGATTCATCTTCATGGTTCTTTCGGTAAAGTCACGTAGAAGGAAAATAATACGTGACTTTACCGAAAGAACCAAGAAGATAAAATAATCTGTTACAGTGCTTCCTTTATATGCAACACCAATGTCATATTTGCATTTCCAGCACACGATATGGGGCGGAACCAGCCAGAAACGCAGTGGCCGTGGTCGGGGCAAAGTGGAGGAGTGGGGGGGGAAGATGAGGTGCATCATAGGCTTCTACCTATGCACACCGGGTACCCCATATTGCATTAGTTTTTTTTATCAATTTAAAATGCCACAACTTATACTACTTGTATTATGCACCAAGTGTATGCTTTTAAAAAATATTAACCGGTTGTTTTAGCAGTTTTTAAAATTAATTATATGGTTTATCCCCCCCCCCCCCCCACCTTTTTTCCATGACATATCAGCGAGTTATTATTGGAATCGATATTTGTATTTCTGCACCTCTGTTTGTTTTTGTTTATTAAGTAGCAAAATCGTAGCCTTAACTATGTTCCAAAACCGAAGAATAATTTCATGTTATATACGGTCACATGCTAATGTAACGGGTTCCGGAGACACTTGTAGAGGTAACTTCTTTATTACAATACAACACTCCAACAGTCCAACTCTCCAACAGTCCTGATACTCTGTTACAGCCTAGGTACACAGCCTAGCTACACAGCCTAGATCAGGGGTCGGCAACCTACGGCTCCGGAGCCGCATGCGGCTCTTTACGGGCTGCTTCTTGACGATGAGTACGTATGTACTCAGATGCATTGCGGCTCTTGAAATACTGAATTTTGTACCGAATTTGAAAGAAATGGCTCTTCTTGTTATTTTGGTTGCCGACCCCTGGCCTAGATACTCTACTCTGGCTACGCTCCGGAACTCGCCCTCACAAGGTCGTAGAGTCGGGAGTCCCAGAGTCCCAGCGCTGGCTCTCACAGCATCCCAGGGTCTTCAGATGCTGGTCGTAGGGGTTGGGTCTTGAGTTACAACTGGGCCCTGATCGTCCAGGGAGCTCTCCTTTTATGCCTGGTCCAACGAGGGGTGGGGCCGTGTGCGCCACCAGACATCCCACAGAGCACACACAGCCCCCCCCCCCCCCCGTTGGCGGCGCCCAGAGGCTTAAGCGTCTGGACCCCCTGGGAACCCAGCGCCTGGCGCCCAGGGGATTACGCGTCTGGACCCACCTGGGAACCCAGAGCCTACAGCAGCCCCTCCCTTCTTATGTCACTACACTAATATATAAGTACCAAATCCTATATACCACTTACCAAGAAATAAACCCTCAGAAAATTAAAATGGATAAACAATAAAGAAATGGCACAGTGTAGCTGCGCAAATAAAACATTTCTTTCTAAAAACTAAACTTGCATCGGTTACACAGCACAGCAGCGCTCTTAATTAGAGGTTAGGTGGGAAGTGTTAAGCGGAGGCAGGAGGATCAATCATGTTGTTTTCGATATTGTGGAATGGTGGTAGTTGTGGTAGACGTGATCAATAACCTTCGATAATGTTACTTAGACTGTATCAAAAACATTTAAAAGTTCGTGTTATCAGCAATATGGGTTATCTCCACTGTTGTAGAACTATGCATTAAAACTATAAATTTCCAGATAATTGAATTTCAAGGTTAAATTAATGTTTTAAAATGTCAGTGATTTCCGATTGCGTCTGTAATGTTATTGTTATAAATTATATTACCAAAAGTATTAAACTGGAATACCAATTGTTAATCGGCCATTAAATTTACTTTAGTTTATCTTTGTGACTGCAACATTTACATAGTACAGTACAGTATTTCAATCACAGATGTATGTGAGTATTTTAAAGCTATTATAGCACAGTAAACTTAATTACTATTTCACGAACCTATCATAATTATGTTATTATCCCAATCACATAATGGAAACATGGCGTGCATATCGACGTGAAAAAGACAAACACCATGGCAATATGTAAAGTAAAGGCATTTACAATCATGGGAACTGTTGGAGCAATTGTGATAATTGTATTATCTTTGAAGCACAGTCGCTGAAGATGGCAAGGAGTGGACAAGAGGATAGAAGAGGTGCATTGCCCAAGACCGTTTTCGTAAACAGGTAAGAGGGCCTGTAACAAGTTATAAACTTCACAGAAGAGGATGACGATATCGGAAGCTTCAGTGTGGAGTGCAATTCGTATATTCCAGTGAAATATGGACACGGCAGAAGGATGAGGCAAAAAGACCGAACGTGTTGGAGATGTGATGTCACAGAAGAATGGAGATGGTGAGCTTGTGAGAAAAGAATTAAAGATGTGCTGAGCGAGAGTGGCTACGAATGGGACTGATGGAGAAGTCTGATGATAAGGTGGCATTTTGCCGATCATATCCTAACAGGGCCAGCAGGTTATATGATACAGTTGAGTCTGAAAAAGGGAAAATGCAAAGTACGAGAGTAAAGGGGAAACAAAACTGAGCAGTTAATAGGATGTGAGCAATAAGTAGGGATTCCATGGCAGAAGCTTAAAGATCGCCAATGACGAAAAGGGTCTGTCAGTTACGAAATGGAAAATGTGTATGAAACTAGATAGCAGAGGTGTGGACTCGAGTCATGTGACTTGGACTCGAGTCAGACTCGAGTCATGAATTTGATGACTTCAGACTCGACTTGGACTTGCATAACAATGACTTTGTCCCACCTCTGAGGTGTGGACTCGAGTCATGTGACTTGGACTCGAGTCAGACTCGAGTCATGAATTTGATGACTTCAGACTCGACTTGGACTTGCATAACAATGACTTTGTCCCACCTCTGCTAGATAGTAACCATGCTGCGATGTTTCAGGCATTGTGTTTAGGGATAAATGCATTCTTCAGAACGGTTATTTAAAAGTACATATTTCTTGGTCAAAAGCACATCTCACAAATTAGTCCAGCGTTCAAATTACAGCAACATTGCGCATCAGATATTGGAATACCGTACTGTGCTCTCATGCTTGGTCAGTCATGTAATAGCGCCTGAATAAGATATTTATGCTGCAGTTTGTACTGCAGTTTTCTTAACAAAGCCATCTGAAGTCTAGTAGTTAATAAAAAAATGTATGGATATTTAATCACCGTTGTAGCGTTGTATATTAAGGTTCAGTAGTAGCTGTTGCAGGTACTCCGTGTTCAACAACTCATGCTTAAGCAGCTGAATTTATCATTTTCAGTGATTGAGAAACATCGCCGAAGGTCTGACCTTCACACACATTGCTCACAAACGTCTCCACAAACGAGTATTTGACGTTTCCCATTGATTTGATTCGATCCCAAATGGCACTCACGATGCTTTTCAATGCACTGCCCAACAGCACCACGGGGGTAGCGACCACCAAAAACAATGCGGAAATCCCGAGAGCTATAATGTAAAAGATGACATTGTACACAAAATAGAAGAATATGCGGGCCGTGAACTCAGCAAGGGTCATGAGAACCGACAGCCCTTTTCCATGATAAATAGCTTTAATAGCTTGGGAAATCAAATTGCCAACGGCTTTGAAGCTGTTTATTCCCTTATCTTTCACCGATTCTACGATGTTTCTTGCAATGACTTTGACTTCAGCTTCAACTGCAAAGACAGGGGGGGTGAAATACTTGGGACAAAAGCGCTAGTGCTGTGTTACGGTATCCTACAGCAGCAAAGAGTCCAGCTTTAGCTACGTTTTTGTACAGTTAATATATGCGTTTATTGAAAAATCCAATACACATACGATACATTTTCATAAAAAAAGTGGTGCTGTAAAATATCGATGCTTACGTTCTTTGACCAATTTGCCCACTTTAATATTTTTTATTTTTTCAATTTCACTTTGCAATTCTTGATTTTTTTCCTCCATCTGAAAGCAAAGCCAAAACAAATGCAAATCACGATTAATAGCTGTTAAGTGTCGGGTTGCCGAGATATTTTTTTACTTTACAATGCAATACATGACTCAAATAATCCACGATCCCATAATTCGCTAATCCCTGTAATTTGCACATTACATACTATTTCACTCCAATTTATAACTATCGCAATATCAGTTCCCCACGACGTAATTGTACGTATCAATGTCATTGTCTTGTTTTTTGTGCTGTTGCAATGACCCAGGTGGGATGAGAAACTTACCTCGTGCGTTATATACATAAAAAACACATTTGTCAAACAAACCTCTACAAAGTCAGTCTCAACACACTGTGTAGTGTGGCTATTTCTTCAATTACAACTCTCTACAACAACTCTTATACTCGCTACCCTAGCGTCCTCCGGCTTGGACCTAGGGGAGGCTAACTTGACCCACCGCTGGCTCGGTGGGTCCCCTGACCACTGGTCGCGTAGAGCCTTAGCTCTCACAAGAGCTGGAAGGCTTGGTCCAGGGTCCTAGCTTCTTCAGCCGGGCTTCTGTCTTCGTGTGAGGAGCACTGGCGGGCGCTCCCCGCGCTCGCCCTTTTATACCCGTTTGTAACAGTCCTTATCCAATCACACGCTCCCTCGTGGGATCCTCTGATTGGTTCTTTACATTCCGCGTTTTCGATCCTCTTCACTTCATCTGACCCCTGGCCGTTGGTCTGACGGGAATCCGTGTTTACGATCCGCTCTCACCTCTCCCTGACCCCGGCCGTTGGTCCCAGAGCGGTAACTCTGCATTGCCCCTCTAATACATAGTGGCCCCGCAGGTTACCGAATAGAGTGTCTAGCACAGGGGTCCTCAAACTACGGCCCGCGGGCCACATGCGGCCCGCCGAGGACATTTATCCGGCCCATGGTCACTAATTGGGCTGAGCTTGTGAGCACTAATTGGGCTGCGCTGGTGAGCACTAATTGGGCTGCGCTGGTGAGCACTCATTGGGCTGCGGTGGTGGGCACTGATCGGGCTGCGGTGGCGAGCACTGATTTGGCTGCGCTGGTGAGCACTAATTGGGCTGCGGCGGTGGGCACTCATTGGGCTGCGCTGGTGAATGGTTCAATGGGCCAATTGACTGGACTTGCCCCCCAGGCCTAAGGCTGCCAGCCCTCCCCTGGCTGCGCTTGACTGGCTCTCCCTCCCTCAGCTCCCTCACTTGCCCCTCGGCTCCACTCCCAGTGATATTCCTGTGTGCTGGGGATGTACTGCGATCTGTGAACAAAACTGCAGGTGTAATTAACTTTTCAATGGCACCCGCACCAGTGTGAGCCTGGGGTAAAAGCGGAGTTCCCCCAATCAGACTGCATTGATGGGCAGTGCAGTCTGTATGTCTCTGTGTGGGCAAAGTTATTGCTGGTATATTGTTTTTGTAGTGCTGTATATATTGGTATTTTACTAATAGCAATTTTGACTCCCTAGGAAACAATGATGTCAAGGAAGAGAAAAATTGACTCGGAGTGTAGGATATTCAAAGAACAGTGGACTTGTGATTACTTTTTCATGCAGTACAAGGAAAGAGCTGTGTGTCTGATATGCCAGAATATAGTGTCTGTGTTCAAAGAATAAAATTTACGTCGACACTATGAAACTCAACATAAAGATAAATATGATTGTTTGGTCGGAGAAGTGAGAAAAGATAAAATATTAAAACTGAAAAATACATCAACAACTCCGCAAAATACTTTTTTGAAGCAGAAGCAGCTAAATATTTCATCACTGCGAGCAAGTTTTCAAGTTGCCAAGCTAATAGCGTGCACTGGCAGACCATTCGTGGAGGGAGAATTTGTTAAAGAATGCCTTCTTTCTGTCGCCAAAGAGATGTGTCCAGAGAAGGTCGATTTATTTAGTACAGTGAGTCTTTCAGGACCTACAATTACACGGAGGATTGAAGCAATGGGAGACAATTTGCATCAGCATTTGCAAAACTCCACAAAAAACTTTCCTATTTTTCCTTGGCACTCGACGAAAGCAATGATGTTCGTGATTCTGCACAACTTCTAAATTTTATTCGTGGAACGAATGACTATTTCGAAGTCACAGAAGAGCTTGCTGCACTGCAAAGCATCAAAGGAACAACTACAGGAGAGGATATCTATGAAAAAGTTTGCCAAACTGTGAATGGTTTGGAGCTGAACTGGGCTTAACTAGCCAGTGTGACAACTGATGGTGCTCCTAGCATGGTAGGGTCTAAGAAAGGAGTAATTGCTCGCATTAACCAAAAGATGGACAAACATAACCATTCTCATCCAATAGCAATACACTGCCTCATCCACCAACAAACGCTGTGTAGTAAATCACTGAAGTGGGACTCTGTTATGAAAATTGTGGTATCTTGTGTTAACTTCATTAGAGCTCATGCACTAAACCACAGACAATTTCAGGAATTTCTGTCTGAACTAAATGTTGACTATGAAGATGTTCTGTACCACACAGAAGTCCGTTGGCTGAGTCGAGGGAGAGTTTTGAAACGTTTCTATGACTTACTTCCACAAATTACAGCTTTTCTGCTTTCAAAAAACAAAGAAGTACCAGAGCTCAATGATGCAGAATGGAAATGGCACCTTGCCTTTCTGACAGATGTAACAGAGCTACTCAACAGTTTCAATGTGCAACTTCAAGGAAAGGGGAAGCTCATCTGTGATATGCAATCACATGTCAAAGCATTTGAAGTAAAATTAGGCCTCTTCATCAAACAAGTTAAGGAGGAAAACTTCTGCCATCTCCCCACAACTCAAAATCTGTTAGCGGAAAACCATTGGTTGCAATTCCCAAACAAAACATGTGTGGATTCACTGGAAAAATTGCAAAAGGAGTTCCAATTTAGATTTAAAGAGCTTCATCTCCATGAACAGGACATACAGCTTTTCCGTAACCCATTTTCTATTGACATTGAAAATGTGGATACAATTTACCAAATGGAACTGGCTGAACTGCAGAATTGTGACTCTGAAAGACGCATTCAAGTCAAGCAGCCTTCATAATTTCTATGCATCTCTCCCATCTGAGACATATCCTCATCTCAGGAACCATGCACTCAAAATGGCAACCATCTTTGGCAGCACTTATGTCTGTGAACAGACTTTTTCCAGAATGAAACATTTGAAATCTCCAACCAGATCTAGACTAACGGATGCACACTTGCATCACTTGTTACGACTAGCAGTGACAAATATGGAACCGGACATTGACCATCTCATTAGCCAAAAGCAGGCCCATAGTTCCCATTGAAATACTGGCAAGTTTGTTGATTTAACTTTACTTGTTCTTCATTTTAAATATTGTATTTGTTCCCGTTTTGTTTCTTCACTTCAAAATAAGATATATGCAGTGTGCATAGGAATTTGTTCATAGTTTTTTTAACTATAGTCCGGCCCTCCAGCGGTCTGAGGGACAGTGAACTGGCCCCCTGTTTAAAAAGTTTGAGGACCCCTGGTCTAGCACCTCTACACATCTGTTATTGTCTTTCAGGTCCTGCAGAGTGAGATGCAATGCTTCAAGAGCTGCTTTATTGGACATCGTCCATTCATCCCAAACAATTAGTTTGCAGCTCTGCAGGATCTGAGCTAAACCTGTGCCCTTGCTGATGTTACACACCAGATTATCTGATCGGTTCAGATCCAAGGGCAACTTAAAAGCTGAGTGGGATGTTCTTCCACCAGTCAGAAGAGTAGCAGCAATTCCTGAAGAGGCGACAGCAATGGCGATGTGCTTTTCATACCAAATCTTGGCAAGAAGTAAATTGATCAGAAAGTTTTGCCAGTTCCTCCTGGAGCATCCAGAAAGCTAATTCTACCAGTATCTCTGTCAACCATATTCACAATTCTGTTGTAGGCTACAGTCTGATCCTGTGACAACAGAAGTACAGTTTTGGAAATCTTCTGTGCCAACTGGGTGGCAATGTAGCATGTTACTTGAAAAATTTCGCTGCAAGGCCTCTTGCATCACCTCTTTGTGGCACAGGAAGTCCAAGCTGCAAATGCTGCACATATGTTCCGACCATAGACATGACCTTGTCAATAAACATTAGTACTGCAAATTTACATTAGAGCTGTCTTGTCTAGCCCTTTGCAGAATGTCCTCAGCTATATAGTGCTTGTGAGTTTCCCACAACAGCCTGGGATGTGAGGGAGAGCAGGTTGTTATAGGAACAGCAACCAGATTTCTCAATTTGAGGGCAGATTAGGTTGCTGCTGCTTCTTCCAGGCTAGCGTTCCAGTGGTCATCATTTTCTCTGGCATGCCTCATGAAATGCTCCAAACAGGATGTCATTAACAGTTCTCAGGTCCTGGAAGGTTTGGTCTGTTACCGAGTGCAAAAGTAAGCAGAGATAAAAACTGGGATGGACTGTGTAAACGCGGCCTCGTGCTGCATGACAGAAGATTCCAGGATCAGGAACCGTTATGCCACGTTTTCGTCTCTGCAATATTTTGTTTGGCTGCCAGATGTAGTATCTGGGCACCTGCCAAAACAAGTGTCTGTGCAAATTCACATTGCTGACAAAGCTAAAAAACGCAGTTAGAGTTGTAGTGGAAAGATTTTGTGCTTTTTCTTGGGCATTGCCACCATTGAAGAAGACACGTTGACCTTTTTCCAAGTGGACACTTAAGTGTGTAACTGCGGGGTACTGCCCATGAATTGGAAACTCCAGAATCCTCTGCGATTCTTTGGAAAGAATATTCACCTGCATGAGTTATCTTATGCAATACAATATTCCAATTCTGGAATTCATTGTTAACTATAAGAATTGCAACCTAATTTGTAGTCGGGACATTTAAGCGAGGCTCATGCACACCAGCAGGTGTCCTGTCTGTTCTGATGACAACTTAGTACAAATCTGTGGTCATGTTTTCATTGGTTGTTCTGAACTGTTTGAGATAGGGATTATTTTCATGCAACATGTCCTGCAGAGCCATGCCCACATCAAAAATTAGGTCTGGAATTTTGCTGTCACT